GCTGGCCCTTTCCGAGGGTTTTGCAAATGTGCAATAAGATAAGAATGAGAAGGCGCCCGTGTTGCATCCGTCTGCTGAGGTCTCCCTCCAAAGGCGGCAGGCAATTAGATGTTCCACTGAGTCTCAGAATAAAAAGGGGGTGGGATGTCTTGAGAATTGCCACTTGCGCTATGGCTTGGATCCAGACTAAAGTTTCTGCAGGCTCAAGGATTTCTGCCATACGGAGCATGACTTTCTCTCTCTCTCCCCCTCCCGTATCCTGTCCATGGGGGAGAAGGGTCCCCAGGAACAGGATATTTGGAGGGTGTTTTGGGCTGCTATAGGATGAGGGGAAACAATCATGCTCCCTAGATGGAAGTCCCTGAGCCTGCAGAAACGTTTGTTTGGCTCCAACCGTGTAAGTCTTGCTGACCACGCCCCTCCACGCAGGAAAACAAAAGCACTTTCTCCTCCGGCTCCTTGGGCGTCATTCTCTCCTTTCTTTTCATAGTGAACAGACTGTTATTGCTTCTTTCTACAATCCCTGTTCTGGCCCAGCGGAAGCTAGAACTGTCACAGTGAATTATCTGCGGTGTTACCTCTAAATAGACCAGGGCCTACTAAGACGCTGGCATTGGATTTTCCCTCTTGAGGACTTTCGGCCTATTCGAGATGTACCCGATGCATTAAACGCTTCTGAGCATTCAATTCCCTTCCAGTCCACATTCCTTCAGAGTTTCCTATGCAGTAAGAGGCTGCTGCACTTATATTTATTTATCGGAGGGGGGCAGGGGAGAGAATCTAAGCAGCCCGTGGTGGAAAACATTCTTCCACTGTGACTTGCCTCTGCTTGGGAATTTGGGGGCTGTAACACATGCATGGAATGTATTTTCTCTGCTCAGAAAGCAGTTTCTAAGCTAGCAAAGTGGCTTAGCTGACCTTGAACCTCCTAGGAACTGCGTTGTTGTGTATCCAGGAGCTTCAGATGCTCTTTGGGGAAGTATAAAGCTTGAGAAGAACCCCATGTCCATTACCCGCAAAGGGTATTTTGGGGGTGCAGATTGGGATCCAGGGTCTGATTTGAGTGTTGGCTTGGCCACCTTCTTGCCTCCCACTCCAGTCATCATAACAATAAACACTTTCACCAGCTTGCCCAGAAAAGCCCGACCTTCCTCAGTGGCCACCGGCTTAAGTGTTCAGAAGGTGAATAAAAGCCTTGTTGTCCTGGCAGTGGCAGCGGAGAGGAGGTGGGCACAGAGTTTCCATGATGCAGCCTCTCAGCTGCAGCGCTCCTGCAGGCCATGGAATGCTCTCGTTGCCGTATTGATGGGACTTTGGAAGAGAGAGGGGTGGTTCTTTTAACTTAAAGAAGCATCAGTCCATGGTGATGCCTCCCCTCGTTTTACGTTCCCCAGTTCGGTTCTTGTGCTGTGTGTTGGCAGATGCTGCCTGGGATGTACAGTCCACCCGATCCTCCTGTACTCTTTGCTTCATTAAGAAGTCCATAATTGCTTCCCTGCCACCTACTGTGCAGCCAGATATCTGGAAGCAGTACCCCCGTGTGTTGGGGAGGAGGTGAGCTTCTCCTTTGTGCCGCAGGGGCGGGAGAGGGAGAGAGGACCTCAAGCACCTTGAATCAGTGTAGCCTTAAAATATCTTATTGTAGTCCCATTTACTGCCTTGTGCAGCAAAGGGCGATGCACACAGATCATAACCACACTACAAGATGACGTGGCCAGTTTGCATACTGGCCGTTCACAAAATAAAAAGGTGCTATTAAAAATCTGGCTTTATTCTCAAAGACAGCTGCTTCCAGATCTGGTCTGCTCAGACTGATGATGGGGTATGTTGGCATTCTGGAGCAAAAGATGTGGCACCTCCGGGCGGCCTCTCTGGCCAAGTCCACGGCTCCTAAAAGGTAATGAAGTGAAATGTGTGTGTGTGTGTGTGTGTCTCTCTGCTCAGCTTGGGCTGATCTGAGAGAGTAATGCATGAGTTTGAGGGGTGAGTTCATGCAGCATGTCCAGTCTCCAGCATCCCCCTGCCTCTCCAAGCAACTGGTGGCAGATGGCAACTGCAAGACCAGCACTGTACCTGACCCCCCCCCCCCCATCTGTGCTCCCAGCTGGCTGTTGTAGCGCAGAACCAGGAGCCATGGGTGGCTGTGGTTTAGGAGAAGTAAAGGCCCTCAGACAGACAGACTTTTAATTTTGTTGCCTTTTAAGTCCTGTGGCATGGTTTTTCCTCTTCTGGGATTGGCTGTGAACAGCACACACCTCCCCCATACACACACACACAAAAGAGGCTGAAATGATGAGGTTCACCTCCTTCCTGAGAAGTGGTTTTTAGGATACTTGTAAACCCCCCCCCCCTCATTTCCCCATGCTGACTCATACGACCCTGCTGGAATATGTCTTCTACAAACACAAGAAACGTCACCCTTTAAGGATCAGAGTTCCTTTTTGAAGTAGAAGGCGTTCTTGTGATTTACATTCCAAGATGCAAAGATGGTTTGGAGTAGGCTGACAAAACCTAACAGAAGACAGTTTGTAGTCTTAACTTAAGTAGTACGTGTCCTTCCCCAGTGGCAGACAACTCTGATAGCATCTGAACTAACCCACTATCCCTGGCCCTTTGCCATAACTGCCTCCCTGCGCCAGCAAGTCCTCTCTGCTGATCTTTTGTGCCTGTGACCCTGGCAAAATAAAGCCGTTCCATGCTTTGCTTGGAAAGACAAAGTAAACGGCTTTTTGCTAGGTAGCCCAGCGTTGCGGAGGAGGGGAGTGTGGTTCAATGTTCCCTCGAAGAGTATGGAAGAGTAACTTGAGAATGCAAGTTATTTTTTTTTAAAGTGAAACTACAGAATTTGAATCTTAGGAAGCTGAGGTCTGGTTTTTATCAAACTTTCTTTTTTAAAAAGAATGCTCTTTAATAGAACGAAGTGTATCCCCCTTCTCTGCCTGGTCTCTCTTTTTGGGGGGGTGGGGTTTTTGATGCAGATGTGGGCATCATTGCACTCTTACCAAAACAATTTCCCCCCCTTGATTAGCGAGAGAGTAAAACAATCACCCACCTTTCCCTCCTTTTTGGTGCTATTGAACTGTTTACAGGAGAGCAAGCCTCCTATTACTGGCTTGGAAGACAAGTCTGTATTGACTAGGCCCTGGTCCGAGATGCCGGGTACCGCAAGCCCTGCCCCGCTCTCTACGTCAGTTGTGACTCTGGTAACTTTATAACTTATTCTCCACTCTCCCTCGCATATTACATGGTATACAGGTGGCATTTTCAATGTGAATCCAAAGCTTGTCAGGTCCTCGACATTTGTTCTGCCTTTTATGTTCTTTTCATTGTGATAATGCTGTATTTAAAGAGGATATTTAAATGTAAAAATAAAGAAATGCTCAAACTTGCACCAAACAGCTTACATTCTTTCTCTTTTTAAATTAACAGTTGAAACTCTTGTGTTTGTCACTGTTCCTACTTACAAGTGTGTGGTTTTTTCTGATATTCTCACTGCATTTACAGAAGTCATGGAATTCCTTTTATTAAGATGGTGAAAGTTTCCCTTGCTTGAAAGCCAGTCGAATCCAACTCTAGGGGGCAGTGCTCGTCTCCATTTCCAAGCTGAATAGCCAGTGCTGTCCGAAGACTTATCCGTGGTCATGGGGTCAGCGTGACTAAACGCCGAGGCACACGGAACACTATTACCTTCCCATCAAGGTGTATTTATCTACTTGCAATTTCTTGCTTTCGAACTGCTAGGTTGGCAGGAGCTGGGGCCAGAGACGGGAGTTCTGTCACGCGGCTCCAGGGTCTTGAACTGCCGAGCTACAGACCTTCTGGTCTACAGCTCATTGTCTTAACCTCTAAGCCACCGTGGCCTAGGACCAACCAAAATGACCTAAGAGGAAGTGCTTGAGTTATTCAGAACTCTCTATCAGGCTGGCTATTCTTTAAAAAGAAAAAAAGTGAGGGAGTTGTCTTGGAACATTATTTTGAAGGCCTTCCCTTGTAAAGCATCTTGTGTGGAATGCTGAGCAGGTAAAAATGGTGTTGGTGTCTGGTAGCACCATATAGAACTGTGGAAAGTTGGCCCACAGTTCTGGCTCCTCAGTTGGGCCTAATAAAAAGGGTGAAATTTTAAAGGTTTTGCTTTGGACCAATGTGGCTGCCTGTAGCTTGTTGCTAACATGAGTGTGCTGCTGGTCTTCTGATCTCCCCTTCCATAGTAGGCCATTAACTTTGGTGTTGTATTATGGCTTTATCAGTGCCAATGACTGATTCCTTGCTATACATGTCTATAAGCCACGGTTTCAGTGTCTGTTTAAGGGGGGGAAGTCTGCTTAGTGAGGTGTAATATGACATCACAGTTAAAACAAGCAGTGGACTGGAAGGGAGAATTCTGTGCATGGGGCCTGTCTCATGCTCCCAAGAAAAATCAGAAATATTGCACTGTGAATGCCAGCATCTTTCATTGAATGCCGGTGGATATTGCAACTTGAAGCTAATACTTGCTCTATACTAGTCAGTGGTTCCTTGGACTAATGGCTTACCTCTTAAATGGTAAAATGCTAGGGAAGAACCTTTCCCAAGGGATACCGCTTACTCCCCTGCTGAGTCTGTGTGAGCTACAGAAATGCAAATTGTTTGGCTGCGAAGAACCTTTCCCAAGGGATACTGCTTACTCCCCTGCTGAGCTACAGAAATGCAAATTGTTTGGCTGCTGTAGCTAGAACTGGTCTGATCCCCGGTAGCAGGCTGGTTTGCCTTTCTTTCAGGGGAAACTCCTAAGCCCTTATTTAAAGAAAGGATTTGAGGTGTGGTTTATGGTGTGCAAATGCAGACTGCTTGTGGGCCAAAACATTTGCACTGGGTTGGGGGAGATAACAGTATCACAGGTTTTGTTTGCCACACGAGCCTAAAGCCCAATCCTGTTCTGGTGGTGTGCTAGTACCGTGACTTGGGAGTGAGACAGAAAACAAGTCAAGCAAAAACCGGATGGATCCAGACCCCTGCTGTGATGAGATTTTCTTTATTAGCCATCATTAATGGAATATTCTCAGATCACAATACAATGCATTCACTATCGTGCATTTGAGTTCAACCACTAAAGAAGGTGGGGCGGGGAATATTTATATTTAGGCGGCCTTGGCCGGAATTCCAGCTGCTTAAAGGGTTGGGGGTTTTTTTTAAAAAAGAAGTTTGATTTAACCAAGGGATTTTTGCTTTGGGCTGAGTATATAATACTTTTTCCTTAAGTTTTATGGTAGCATTTAAGACAAGCGCAGAAAAGGGATGGAACCACTTCATAACCTGTTCTGCAAAAGAGGTAGCCATCACAGGCTGGAAATCCCCAGCTTCCCTATAACTCCAGCTTGCATTTTCTAATGATGTCTCTGAAAGCCAACACATCTGTCCAGCAGAAGTGCCACAGTTTAAGCACTTATTAGGATTTTAAATAGAACGGTATAGTTCTGAAGGAAAGAACTAATAACCAGGCTTTGATTATGCTCTTGCAGCATACTGTAACAACTCGGGAATGGTTCACTGAGCTACCACCCATAATTTAACTTTTTCTTATTTTAGGGGGTGAGAGGCAGCACAAAAGCTCTTCTCCAAAGAATCAGGTAAGTGCCAGGGTTTGAGGAAATCGGTTCTTTTGGTGGCATTCAAGAGCTCCTTCTCACTGTAGATAAGCAGTGGTAACAAGCATGGAATTTGAGCTTAGTCTGTCACTGCTGAGCCAGGCCAGCAGGCCTTGTGGAATTTACATTTCTTGTGGAGACATCTCCATGATGCTTGCAGGTTGTCTCTTTTCTCTGAAGATCAGAGCGAAAGATCTCACTCATCCTTAGTGCTTTGAACAGGATTATTAGCCTCTAGAGGAGGAATGACCTCTCCTGCTGGACTCCTGCCATCCTCTCTGGGGCAAGCAAAACCTCCGTTCCATTTTTCCGCCTGCTGTAGCCCAAGAGTCACTGTCACAGCATTTCTTCAGAAGTGGTCCAGGAGGGAACTGCACATTGGTCAGCCCTTGGAGGAAGAGAGGTAGTTGGTGGAAAGTAAGACCATGCCATGGGCCAAGAGTGATGCTTCAGTTTCTGAAAGACAAGACAGTATCGTGGTTGCTGTAGTTATCTATTGTACTTGCAGAGAAAGAGAGATGGCTGTAACAGACTGCCTTTTGGGTTCCTGGGGGCCTTTGAGGTATAAAAAAGACCAGATGACCACTGAAACTGAGACTTCAGCCATGTTCCTGTGCCTTTGAACACTGTGTTCTGATTACAACCCAAGGGTTGAGACAGTGCTCCTCGTGTTTTCTTTCATTCCTTAGGCACTCCTCCCTCAGCTGCTGATTTCTTCCTTAGCCTTGGGCTTAGTCATGCCTCAATCCACTCACCTCTCCCCCAAATTCTCCTGCCAAATCTATTTGCTAGCCTTGAGGCATCTCTGCAAATCCCTGCCGTGGCTTCACAAAAACACTTCTTGTCCTGAGATTGAAAGTGCTCTCTGGGGTCAAGTGAAAAGAGTGGCAGCCATGGCAAAGAAGGCTATTCTGGGTACTGAAACCCCACCTGACCAAATTAATTCCCTCCTTCACCTCTGAATGTTGCCATATTTTAGCCACGTGTCAAGTTTTTGGTCTGAAGAGGGATACACTAGAAATGTTAATTTAAAAAGCACAAGCATGCAGCCCTGAAGAATCTTGGCGCTCATTTGCGATTTTAACCTGCATCTGACCTGCAGTCGAGGGGTCAGTTCTAAGGTTCTGCAACTTCCCCAGCGGCATGTTCATTGCCACAGATGCTGGCTCACAGTCTGTCATCATACTAGCTCTTTAGAAGGTTTCCACTGATGAGAGGTTGAACTGGGAACTGTGAAGAGACAGTAGCCTTTGCACACTGATGAGGGAAGAGCCTCTACCTTGCTACGGGAGGGAAGGTGTGAGCAGAAGTTGACAGGAACAACAGAGGCCAGTGGTTGGGTTGTGAATACCACCAGAGCAGGAGAGCAGAACCCAACTTTTCCCAGTTTGGCTGTGTGAGTGAGAATATTCGTAACAGAAGCTCCCTTGGCCAACTACATTCAGTCTTACCTTTCAGTGAGCAAGATAGTTCCAGCCACTGGTCTAGCCACAGCCTGCACTGTAATGGGCTGAAACGGACAGAATTCAAGCCCCGGGTATAACAAGCCTGCAAAAGATTCAAAAAGCATACTGTTGCACTCAAAAAGATGCCTCAGTTTGGAAGTCAGGTACCATGCTCTGCTGGCTGTACATCCTAACACAGGAACTGGTTTAAGAATTGTTGTTTTTTGTCACCCCAGTCTGCCAATTTTTAACCTTTCTTAAATAGGCCATGTGACAATGAGAGAGCAGGTAAGCAACAGTCCATAACAGGATATGCATGGCCTTAGAGTACTTGCTGTTCAGAGTTGCAGACATTCAGGATCTTGAGGGCATCAAGAAACAAACTTTGATCCACTTATGTTCTTGAGGAGCTGCTGTTGAAATCCAGAAGCTCAGGTAAAAAATGAAAAGCACTGCTGCGTGCATAGATCTTTCCATACATCTCTCTGGATCAGGACTCCTAACATTTTTACAAAAGGGGAAAGTATAGCAGCATTCCAAAGTGTGTTAACTATTCTTCATTTGATTGTATGAGCTGTTCTCATTGGCATCTGCATCCCATACCTAATATTAGTTGGTGATATTTATATTATTTAAATGCCCTGACCTGGATAGCCCAAGCTAGCCTGATCTCATGAAATCTTGGAAGCTAAACACGGTCAGCCTTGGTTAGTACTTGGATGAGAGACTGCCAAGGAATATCAGGGTTGCTATGCAGAGGCAGGCAATGACAAACCATCACTGAATGTTGCCTTGAAAACCCTACGGGGTCACACTAAAGTGGCTGTGGGTTGACAGGCAAAAAAATCATTTAAATGAAATATTTTCATTACCGTGTTCCCCCTCCCCTTTCTGTTGGGAAAGATTTATAGTAAATGGATGGGGCGAAACTGGCAAGGTATGATCACTTCTCAGCCAACAGGGGACACTATTGTGTAGCTCTCCTACTGGGCCATAAAATTCCGTCTCACCACTTGCGCTTCCTCATCCGACAGCTCTCTCACTCCCAGTTTCAGCATGGCTCGGTCCAGGTGGGACAGTTCTAACAGGTGAGTCCGCAGGCGGTATCTTAGGATGAAAGGTGGCAAGCGAGGTGTCAGGAACAGAATGCGACTTAGAACTTTCTGAAGAGAAATAAGGAAGTCCACAAATGCTTCAAAACCATCCTGTTTCCCAGACCAAAATTTGGTGCGAAGGTAATTCATCCTTCCTCTCCCCCCCCCTTCCCAAATAAACCCAGGCAGCATAAACCCACAGTGGTAAGGTCTAATAGTCACTACGATGCCATGGGCCATATCTATAGCTCCTTGAGACTGTCAGTTGAGGACCAAGTGGAAATACAGTAAGGCCAAAGGATGGATAATACGTTCATAAAGGGGGCTGCCATTATGATGTCATTTTTAATGGCACTTACCACTTGTTGAACACTGAGCTTTTGGATGCTAAAGGGATGCCCGTCAAATAATGTCCTCACGGCTTTAAGTTCTATTACATCTGGGTGGGATCCTTCCTGCACCTTGAAGAAGATAAGAGCTTAGTGTGGACAAGCTTTTAAATGTCTTCCAAGAACAGAGGAAGACGCAAGAGACATCTGCTGAGGTCCATACAAGACCCTGCACACAAAATGTATCCTGCTAATCGGTGTCTAACTGGAGTATACATTATTTTCATGCCAGCAGCAAGAGAGAACTCCCTCTTGTCCTGATCACTGTGTGCAGGGATATTCTCTCAATCTGCCCTGCTTCACACCTTTACCGGGGGGAGGAGAGGGGGAGTTGCTGGGCCAGGGAGCTAGAGCATCCACCAACGCTTGGGTTGGATCTGAAGGTGGTTGAATACGTGAAGCTGCCTTTTACCAAATCAGATCCTTGGCCTGTGAAGATCAGTGTTCTCTACTCAAAACTGGCAGCAGCTGTCCATGGTCACAGATAGAGGTCTTCCACATCACCTACTATAAAATCCTTTTTACTGGAGATGCTGGGGATTGAAGCTGTGGTCTCCTGGCATGCCAAGCAGATGCTCTACCACTGTGCCTTGGCTTTCTCGATTGACAGAAGGCCTTTCTCCAAGCAGAATGGAATGCTCCTCTGCCAGCCCACTGTACTCTCCAAAACACGTTTATTTCTTCAGTGGGGAAGGGGAAAGGAGACAATATCAACTTTCTCCTCTGTCTTGCATGACTGGAGTTCTGCTGACGGAAGAGGAAGAAAGGAGCAATTTCGCCTCCTTTCCCACTCCCAACCCATGTGGCTGTTACTACATGTGGGTTTTGTGAGTCTGGAAGAAGTTGCTAGAAGGTAGGAAAAAGCCATAAAGATTGGTGATCCTTGTGTGGACCTTGTATAGTCCTTGCACTTGATCCAGCCCTGTATCTCCAGGGTGGTTAGTGTGCAGTTCAGGTCTTAATTAATGATAGTTTTTAAAATCATCTCAGTGAACTTTCATAAGGTTATACTGGTAAGATGACTATGACTGTGCAAAGGATAAGCCATCTTGCAATATGAGTCAAAAGAGCAAGTTGGATACCTAAAGACCCACACAACTGTCTCCCTGCCTGCCTGGTGATTTTATTTTAGGATTATATACCTTTCTGCAGAGATGTAGCATTCGTTTTCGAAGCTGTGGATCAGCTAGGGAATGAGACAGGTGCATTAGGTCATCAACCACTTCGGCATATGCCTCCTTCCTTGTACTGTGATACGCATCCAGAAACTCAAGTTGTTGTTTGGGAGTCCAAAAATGGCGTACCAAGAGTTGTCTTGGGAACAGATACCTTGGGAAGGAGAAACCTTTCAGAAGAAGTGGCATAATTCCCAGCTAAGATGCAGTAAGGGTACATACCTGCCCAGGGCTATCTGTACTGTGCACTGATAAACACCATAAAGGCATATCAAAAATTTTTAGGTGTCAAGACAAGTTAAATTTTGCACCAAAAAGAAGTGAATCCTGCAGCTTTTAACTACTCAAGTGTGTGTGTTCTATGCAATGTATTCTGCTCCATCTAGTCAAGGGAGGGACAAACAGCTTTGCAGAAACTGAAGCCTTGGTCTGTGGAAATGCCACTGAGCCTCCCCCACTCCCCGGGAGAATCAGACCTTGCTCTCATGTTCTCAAACTACCTTCATGGTCCAGAATGCTAACACATGCTTTTATTTTTATTTTTAAAAAATGCAAGCTGTAGTTCTTAGGATGGTGAATTCTTTGCCCAATAGCAATTGCTTTTTAAAATTTTTTTTACACTTGTGTAGATAACACAGCACCACACAAAATACAGCTTCCTCTGTGCTGCAGTCACAGGCCAGAGAAATGGAAGCTCTTCAGCCACAGACTCATTGGATTGATTGAACAACTCATCTTTAGGTTCTCTACAAAATGGGAATTACGTCTTATGTATGGCAGTTATATGATTTGACCATAATAGATTGTAAAATTAACCATAATAGATGACAAAATTAAGATGTTGTTTTGGTGATACAAAGGAGGGGGCTGCTTCAAAATACTCCTGTCTTGCTAGCAAGTGGTATTGTAGCTAGACTTAAATTTAACAAAAAACAGTTGGAAAAATCCAAAGCTGCCACTATGTAAAAAAATTGGCTGTATAAAGACAGTGAAGATTATTAGAAGTGAATAAATTATATTTTAAATAACTAGAAAAGGGACAGTTTCTAAAATGTCTTCTGGGAATATATCAATCCTTCCTATGGAATCAAGGAACGATTTCTGCCTTGAATTTGGGTTGAATCTTACATATTGAGTTGTCTTTCCTTCTGGTGTTATCTCCCACACAATGCTTTATTTCAGAGCCAGGTGCATTTAATATCAGTTATGTATAAAATCTGTCTTTAAACTGTGTGTAAGAAAGTTATAAAGGGATTGTGTCCTAGAACAGAAGGCACCAAATAGAATTTAAGCTTCCCCTCCTTATATCTATATAGACTCATTTTTTTAATCATCTGTTTTGTTTTTTAAATTCCAGGGATTTAGAAAAGCAGTTTAAGTGTTCTTCTGAAAACAGTGCTGAAAGAAAGTTTCCAAAGTGGGTGGCTGACAGCTGTACACACACATTCTACAGGAGCTAACCAAAAATCTTTTCATGCCACAGATACCAGGGCATAAAGCAAAAATACAGAATTCTGCCTCAGAGCCCACAAGCAGAGAAAGTGCAGGTTTCTGATTCAAAAGGTATGTTCTTCTTTGATCTATTTTTGTAGCAGCTAAAGCACAGAGCTGTACTGTAACAGTGTCCTCATCAATGAGCTAGGAAGAGCACTTAGCAGCTGATGAGCAAAGAAACCACGAACCACTTATGACAAATGCCATGCCTGCTGAGTGACAGGGCCAAATTAAACTGCTACACTTTCACCATAAACTATGTGGACTCTCCATGTAAACAGGCACAAAACATATACTTACATGAGCAAAAGAACCAGGTAGTTAGCAAAGGGTGGAATTGCGAGAATCCCAATAGGAATGGCCTTGATCAGATCTCTGCGAAACTAAACACACAAAACACGATTAGTATGGCTGCAAGGTGCAATCCATGTAGCTATAGCAACCAGGAGAGCTGATGAGCAGGTGAAGGGACTGATGGGGCAGTGGTGTAGAAGGCAGCTGCTGCCTAGCCTGCCACTGGCTGTCACTTTTAAGTGCCTGGAGGCAAGCTAGCGGTTGTAGTTTCACTGGCATTCCAATTGGAAACTGCTTCTCAAAACAGCAAGGCTGGGTTTTTGTATCCCCACAAAAAAGAACTCCCTCCTTACTGCAGAAGCGTTAAAATCTCTAGTAAAGAGCAAGCACCGAGATAGACTGGTGGTAAAAAAGTGACAGCTATGTACCTGTGACCAATGCTCTCTCTAAGCTGTGGACTCTTGTGAGCGAATATTCTACTTTGTGAGCTACTGGAATTAAAGCTGAGCAAGTGATTTGCCTACTGCATAATTTGCCCTGGAGCCATCCTTCCTCAGCTAAGGCAAAAATGTGTGAGTCAGAGGCTAAAAAACTGTGAGCTAGCTCACACGAACTTAGCTTAGAGGGAACACTGCCTGTGACTTACTCTAGGCTACATTCCTAAGGGCACTTTCCCAGGAGTGAGCCCCACTGAATAACTGACTTATCTCTGAGTAGAGCTACTAAAGATTATAGATCCCTTAGTGTGCTATGTCTACTGTGTTATAACCTGTGTGTGTAAACAGCACAAGGAAAGGCTTGCAGGGTTGTGACCCCCATAACGAGAAATGCTGTGGGTTATGTTTCTACAGACTTTGGTTTGGGTAGATGTGCCTAGTTGTTTATACTTGTGATGGACAGTGTATTCCTAATCCTCAGCGTCCTACTTCCCTCTACTCAGTGGGGCTCCTAGGAATGTGGGTGTTGGATAGTGAAGAGAGTCATTGCCCATGGGCCTGAGAGATTATGCAAGCATGTTAGGTGGGCTACTGAAATAGCAGAGAGCAAGCTTGTCCATGCAATTATTTTCTTTATTGGCACCAATACAGCTATCAATGAGAAGGAATAAATGCAGAGAAGTGGGAGGAAAGTGAGACGCTGTATTTTCCCACAAGAAGTTTAGGCTGTGTTCACACGGAGCATTTGCCGCGCTGACGATACGGATGGTAGGCGGATTTTCCGGGCGTGATCACACCGCAACATCTGGGAAGCATAGAGCTCCCCTGGCTAACCCGAGGCTTCCCGCCGAAGATGCGGAGTAAAAAACTAGTACCTCCGAGGTACTAGTTTCCGGAAACCGCAGGGCAAGGGCGGGCATCTGATCGCATTTCCGGTGGACTTACGTGGCATCCACCGCCCGCTGCTGCTGTTAGTCGCACACAAGGCGTTTTTTGTCTCCCAAGTCTCCGTAGGTTGCGCAACAGTGCCCAACAGCGCATGCGCACAAAGAGCGATTGCTAGTGCGATCGCGCCGCGCGGCTTCTGTGCTGCGCTGCAGGATACCCGTCTGGTCGGCATCTCCCCCCTTACCACGGGACCTCGACTGGGACGTGTGCTCGGGCGGCCACACGTTAGATTCCTCCGGGGCAATTAGCCACGCCTCCCCCCTGCGATATTCGGCCTGTGTGACCGGGGCCTTAGTCAGTTTGTTGAAGCAGGCAGAACTCAGTGAAGTCAGCCTGGGATCCAGAAGACCAGCACAATTATCCCTGCCTGCAAAACAGGGGCATACGGGATGACAGTCTAACTGGGCCATCTCAGAATAGTACTAACAGCAGAAAACTGTTATCTGTACCAAACAAAAGCCAGCTAGCATCCAGTACAGCCCCGATTCACTTGTAGGACTCCTTTGCAATACAAATGGGGGTAGTTAAGCAGGATTTCTCATGCAGAAAAACAGAAGCCTTTGCCCACATGTGAGAACTACAGAGCACATGGAAATCACCAGGAAGAGTACAGGTCAAACATTGGTCTCTGGAATTCTGCTAGGAACAGCAGGTCCCATATCAAAGCCTACCTGCCTTAGTCTCTCCATCTCCCTGTATGGAAGCTGATAAAACTGGATGTTTTTGTGTGCCATGTTGGCCTTTATTCTTCTTATGTCTTTTACCTCTGTATAGAATACCCGGATCCCTGTATGGAAGAAACAGACTTTCAGATCTATAGAAATGTTCTTTCTGTGATGTCTGTGCCAAAGCCCTTCCTGAGCCTTTCACCTTTCCTTTGTTTAAATACACAGCACGAATGCATGACGCAATGCCAAAAGATCAGTCTTCCTCATTCTCTTATCTCAAGTTGATTTTTGTGGCCTACTTTAGCTCTCATACTTTCCTATCTGTAAAACCTTAGTTAACTGCATCATTTTTCACATGGTTTCACTAGTTTCCAGGATTTCAGTTGAAAAGGTAGGTATGGGTGTGGAGAGCCCAAACTCTGACACTTTGATGGTTCTTCACAATGTGGCCCTAGTCTGACTGCATCCTCGTCCACTAAGACCCTTTAATGTCATCACCCTTAGGTGCTTGTTTGGTGACGCCACAAGACACTCATGCTAGCTGCTGTACAGTTGCGACTTATAAAAATCAGTGGAGAAAACTGGTGCCTTACGGAAAGCAGCAGAGAAATCATGGATTAGTGCCATTGTTATTAAACTGTTCTTGAGAATCTAAAGCTAGAAGCTTGGTAATGATAGAAACGCGTCTCTGAAAGGCAGCTTGTCCACAACTCTTGACATAGTAGCATCCACTGCTGTTCCCTTTTAGCTCACAGTAATTGAAAAGTGTTGGATATGTTCAACTTGCCCTACAATCTTCTACAACAATGCAGGGATTCTGGGCTCAGAGATTCCACAATATACACCTCCATGAGGAAAATGCTCCCTAAAGGTAAGCCACTGGGCTACAGTGGCTGCGGTCACACGTAACAGAAGTCACACAAGTGAGACGGAAAACAGCCGGAGTTTCCGGGCGCGATCTCACCAGCACATCTGGGAAGCGTAGCACTCCCGTGGCTCAACCGAGGCTTCCAGCCGAAACTGCGTGGCAAAAAACTAGTACCTTGGAGGTACTAGTTTCCGGAAACTGCGGGGCAAGGGTGGGCGTCTGATAAGGTGGGGTTTTTTTGTCCAAGTCTCTGTGGATGCGCATGCGCACCCAACGGAGCATGCGCATTTGTCATGTACACAAAAATAAAAAACAGTTTGCCGCGGCGCGCACTTCTTCGTTGCGCGCCGGCTTGTCCTGTGATCGGCACCTCTCCCTTCCCATGGAACCTCCACGGTACCTCCACAGAACCTCCACAGGAGGTCTGATCGCGTAACTGCGCAGTAGTTTGCCCCAGGGCAAACAACCACGCTTCTCCTCTGCAGTTTCCTGCCCGTGTGACCGGGGCCAGTGTTTAATTTCCAAGTTGAAAACTTGAGTTCAAGACCTATGAAATTCACTGGTAGCTGTGGGCATGCCACTCACTTAGTCTAATAACCTATTTCACTAGACTGTTGCAAGAAAAAAATGGCATTCCATTTGTATCCTAAATTTCTCCCAAGAATCCCAGCTTTCACACATGGAATGGAATGAGGTGATGGAACCTTGTAGGGGAATAGACTGCAACACTACAGGTAGCAGGTGGTTGATTCTGGCTTTGAATGTTCCTACAAGTAAGAGATACCTGCATACAAACAGAAAAATAGCACAGCAGAGGGAACAGTTGTACTCCATCTCTTTGTTTTCAATGCTGGTTTCCTATTTGTAGGGAGTTAGACATAAGAAAGCATTCTAAAAATGATCCATGATTCTCTACCTGCAGTCTGATGCAATCCATTCTGCCACCTCCAGTCTCTGCCAAATAATTGCTATGTATGTATGAATCAGTTTCCTTACTTCTCAGTTTCTCATTTCTCTCCCTTCCACCCCCACTCTCAAATTAGATTGTGTACCCAGGAATTACACCATAGACATCACTAGGAGAGAGCTTCTAGTAACCTAAACAAGGAGATGTGGGATCTGCTCTCCACATATGATTTTGCTCTGATTCAGTCTGTATAAATGATTTGTTCATATACTCACGCTGCTTAAATCATGAAAGCTGTGCAAGGGTTTTGGCTAGGTGTTAATTTCTTCTAGTTAACACCTACCTTTGAGAAAAGTTGAATAGAGCACATAGAAACGTGGGAATGTCCTTTCCAAAAATCTTTCATACTTCTCATTTATGTATTTGGCTTTTGAGACCAGGGCAGAAATAACAGTTTTGGAGTTTGCCTTTGCAGAGAATTGGCGCACTGGTGGTCTGCAACAAAAGAAAGCCCATGCAAGTATGTGCATTGTTATTGAATAAGTCTTTCATGCCCTTTAGATTTCACACACACAAAAGACACAGCTACAGGAACCAAAAATAAACTACTAGGGAGGAGTAGCTGTATCTGACTGATGCACCATGGCATCATAACACAGTATAAAGCAAGTCTAATGCTCCAGAAAGATGGAGCAAGTGTCCACAGGAATCAGGGACAAGATGTGATAAAATACACAATTTCGTCCATTCTCATCGCTACACAAGGCAGCGAAAATGATCAAAACGTTGGGGGGGGGGTCTGTTTAAAGAAAAGAGAAGGGGGGCATGATATTCCAGCACTGATATCTCAGTCGCAATGAAACAAAAAGGAGTCTTACAGCACCTTTAAAAATTTAATGAATTAATTCCTGCTCACAGGTAGAGAATCTGCTTTGCATGCAGAAGATCCCAGGCTCAATACCTGGCACGGCCTGCGCCTCAGAGGTCTTCTGCCTCACCTGCTACCAGATCTTTCTGATCAACCCGACCCTGAGGAGCTACAGCCTTTCAGGCAATATTTCGGCAGAAGGCAGCGTCTTGTGTGTTCACTGTGAAGTAAGGGGTGGGGGGTGGGGAGAGAAGAGGCGCTACAGTCTACTCCCAAGTTGTGAATGGCGACTGTGCTTTAAGAACCCTGTTCACAAAGTCCTCTCCTCCTGTGTGCATTTATAAGGACCCGCCGCAAGACTCCCTTTTTGTCTCCCCGGGTCAAGCACGCGAGGGGCTGGGGAGAGGAGGCAGCAGGTGGCCGAACGGGAGCGGCTGAGCTGAAAGCCGGGCGGTGTCCGCTCTCTCCCCCGCCCTCTCACTCACCTCAGCGCCGGCCAGGGCAGAGGCTCGGGCAGCCGCAAGGTCCGGTACACGGAGGCGGCCGGCACGGGAAGGCTGGCGAGACCGAAACGCAAAACGAAGCGGCAGCCTAGCCGCGCCATCCCGGCAACGCCCGACGAAGGGGCGAGGTCGTCGCTAAGGCGAAAAGGAGGTCAAATGGCAAAGGTCGCGCGGCCGCAAAAGACGGAAGCAGCCGCGGGAGAGCGGGAACAGCGCCGAGTCACGTGACATCAGGCGGAAGGGGCGCGAAGGGCACCACCTGGCGCGTCACTACAGGCGGAAGTGGGGAGAAGGTAGACGGTCTTCCCCCCCCCCCTCCGCAGATGATTAAGTGGATCGTCATTCTTTGTGCGCCGTATAGAGAGTCCAGCCACTGCCCCCTGTAGATTGAAGGCCGTACAACCAGGCTGTGACGTCACCGCATCCAGTCATAACAATCCCTGAACTCTGCAGTTGCCAGCTACTTTCACAAGTGTTTTAAATTGCATTTTCTCGTGTTCTCAACAAGATATTCTCTTGATTTTTTCACTGCAGTATTCCAGACACTTCACACTAGCTTACAGTGTTACTGAGTTCAGTTTCCCTTGCATATTTGAGTGCATGTTTCGTATATTTTACAAGCATATAATAGGGGAAAGTGGTGGATGTCTGTTGTATGATGGTATTGTCAAATAACTTCTGGTTTTCAGTATTACTTTTTATTTGCCACTGACACAGCAGGAGATAGAAATATGCACAAACTCATACTTCTTATTTAAGAAGTTTTCACATACAGTAAACTTCAATCTTAATCTCCAGTGACCCTAAAAAAAAACTACACAAGATATTGGTGTACATTCACAAACGTTCAAGGGAACCAACAGATGTAAGTACAACAACAATCAATCTTCCTATGGAACTTCCTTTGAGTAAATTAGTAAATTAGAGGAAAATATAGAAACTACACATTGTGGCCTTCAATGAATCTAAATCTCCCCAGTTGTCATTTCAACTCACGTTGTTGCAGTTCAGGGGCAAATATATGTGAAAGGCTTACACTAGCTTACAGTGTTACCAAGTTGGACGGCCTTCAATATACAGGGGGCAGTGGTCCAGCCCTGTTCGTTTGTTGAGGCGACCGGTGAAGAGTCCGGGGAGGGGGGGCTTAAAGGCCTGGCTCGCGCGCACCAGGAGGGGAATGAGCTGGTGGGACGCATGGCTTCACTTCTAGCTACAGACTGTGGGTTCCGCCTTTGAACGTTTCCGTGTGTTATAAAAGAGTCCGTATAAGTAGAGCAGGAGAAAGAAAGGGTGTGTCTACCTGTCTTTGCTTGCTGGACGGCAATCGATGGTAAAAGTAACCTACATTTTTTTTAAATAACATTTTTGTTCCAAATTTTCATGTGCAATCATCAATTATCAGTATGAAATAGTCAAATACACTTAAGTAGGATAGTAGCATACAAATTGTAAACTCAGTGTAACCTACATTTCTTATTGGTATGGGGTGGGAGTGAAGCAGAAGACGGGAGGTAGGGAGCACATCAGCCACTTTTTAAACCGGTACTCTTTGTTACCAACGTGTACTCGTTTACTTTCTCCTGTGCTGTGCTGTGCTGTCTTTCTAGATTCAGCACGGTAGTTTGCTTTTGTAACACAGAGCTTTCCAAAACGGGTTCTTCTATGTAGTGTTGCCAGTCTCCAGGTGGGACCTGAAGATCCCCCGGAATTACAACTCATCTCCAGACAACAAATATAAGTTCCCCTGGAGAAAATGGCTGCTTTGGAGTGTGAACACTACGGCATTTGAGGTCCCTCCCTAAGCCCCACCCTTGACAGGCTCCACCCCCAAAATCTGCAGGAATTTCCCAACCTAGAGTTGGCAACCCTGCTTCTAGGCGGTCTGAAATGGTGCAGGTTTTTCTGCCGCCACTTTGTAGAATTGTTCTCTCCCTTGCCAACTCTGCGCAGACCAGCAATAGTTGCCAAGCGTTCACTCCTGGGAAGGCTCATCTCATAAAAAGCGCTGGCTCTTTTGGTGGTGGCCCACTGCCCTATGGAGCTGCATATCAGAGGGGAGGCATGGAGTGTGTCTCTTGTTATATTCCATAAGATACATAAAGTAGCTTGTCTTGCAGCAGGCATTTGCTGGCTCCATTTTTGATGGTGATCATTTCCAGAGGCTGTTTTGTAAGTTGTTCATTGTTGAATTCCTTAGGCTAACCAATTTATACATTTCCTGACTAGCTGAAGTTTACTATGTTGGTTCTACTGGTTTGTTTTTACTAATTTTTGATAGTGTGTTTTATCAGTTTTTTGCAGCTGTTTAAAGCACATTTAGAAGCCAGTAGAAGTTATTAAAACAGATCCGATAAATGTGTGAATTGAGCCTGACCCATACATTGTGGCATACGTCTTTCTGGACTACAGCCCCATTTCCTCGGTGACATCTGGACTCTGTGGTTTCACAGAGAAATTTCTGCAGCATGCAAGAGAAAGGGGTAGTTGGGGAAGGAGGACGTTACTCTACCAGTAGGGACCTGAGGAATGATTCCCGTGGCTAAGGAATAGGTGTTTGTAGAGGATGGGTTAAATGCCTTCCTAGCGGAGGGGTAGCTGCTGGCAAACACTGGGAGTTAAACATTTTGTGGCAGCTACTAGCTACTTTCATATGAACCAACATGACCACTATGGTAATCTTCAGATGCACCCTCCATCTGAGTCTAGACAGGTGGAAACCCAAGAAAGGGCCTTCTCAGTTGTGGCACCCAAACTTTGGAACTCTCTCCCAATCAGTAAGACTCGGTTTTTTTAAAAAATATTTATTTTTAAAATTGTTTTACATGACCACTATGGTAATCTTCAGATGCACCCTCCATCTGAGTCTAGACAGGTGGAAACCCAAGAAAGGGCCTTCTCAGTTGTGGCACCCAAACTTTGGAACTCTCTCCCAATCAGTAAGACTCGGTTTTTTTAAAAAATATTTATTTTTAAAATTGTTTTACACAAATTTTACATATTATCTTTTAACCATGCGTTTTCATAATAGTTTTTTCCCTCCCCCCTCCCCCCTCCCTCCTATGCTATCCCGGTGCTTTAGTCCTATATTCCCAGCCACGGGCACAAAGTCCGAATCTTGCTCTGAATGTCTTTTCTTCCTTCTGTCGGTATCCATTCCAGGTACGTCTTCCACTTCATCGTGATCTCCGTAGTCTTGTCTTTCCATGTGGCCTTACGTTCCAGTTTTTCGATTATGTCGGACTGTATGAGATCAAACAAATAATTATGCCAGATTTCTACTGTCCATTTATTTTTGTTCTTCCAGCCTAGAGCTATTACTGCTTTGCCTGCTAGTATCATGGCTTTAAACACCCAAGTGTTTTGTAAATACAATATTGACTTATCTACATTTGATGTCATTTCCTTGTAAATTTTCCCTGCTAGCCCTTGTTTTGACTTTTGCATCTCTTTGTATAATGTTTCTATTGGTTCCTCTAGCCAACATTTCTCTTTTTCCTTTATCTTTTTAACCTTACTATACAGGCCAGTTATTCTTAACCAATGTTGGTTGCCCACCTCTTCTATTATCTCCTGTATGGGTTTTAGATTGCCTCCTCTAAACATATCTTTCATCCTATAATACCCTTTAGCTTTTAGCCATTCCCACCATTCGTTACCTGTTATATCCTTGTTTATAGATTTTAATGGTGCCCAGCTTGAAGTTTTTCTTAGCCATAACTCCTGCCACTTATTCCACGCTTCTAAGGCTGCATGTCTGGGACCTTTGGTTAGTTTGAGGTCTATTTTTGTGACTTTGCAAAGAGGCCCCCAGCAGCCAATGTGATTATTGATCTCGTTCTCAAATCTAACCCATTTTTGCTCTTCCCCTTCGCCTATTTCTAATAGGGACTTTATTTGGAAGGCTTCATAATAGCTGTTAAGCTCCGGGACTCCCCACCCTAGCTCCCCTTTGGGACTATATATCAATCTCTTTTGGGTTCTGTACTTCTTGCTCCCAAATACCCATTCTCTAATCACTCTGTTCCATTGTTCTAGCTTTTTACTGTGTGCTTCTAGTGGTATCGCCTGAAATAAATATATTAATTTGGGTAGCCAGAACATTTTAACACTTCTAATTCTAGTGGAGAGCCCTAGCGTTTTGTTTTTCCATTTTCTCATATCTTTTTCTATTTTCTTCCATATTATGTTGTAGTTACTTTCCGCGATTCTATCAATCTTTTTTTGTATCACTATCCCTAAGTATTTAAACCTTTTAGTTCCCATACCGATACTTGTAATTTTGTTTACTTCTTTTTTTTCTTCTTTATTCACATTAAGGTACATGATTTCTGATTTGGCCATATTTACTTTTAAACCTGAGAAACACTCATAATCCTCTAGTATAATTTTAATCTCTTTCATCGCTTCTTGGGGATTTGACATAACCACTATAATGTCATCTGCAAATAAATTAATTTTCATTTCTTCCTTCTTTGCTTTGAGACCATTTATCCTTACACTATTTCTTATTCTCTCAGCTAGCTGTTCTATCGCTATGGTAAATAGAAGTGGTGAGAGTGGGCAGCCCTGTCGAACTCCTCTCTGAATCTGAAATGTTTGTGATTTGTCATTGTTAACCTTAACCACTGCTTTCCCATCTCTATATATTTCCTGGATTGCTTTTCTAAAATTATCTCCCATCTTGTACTTTCGCATAACCTGCCACAAAAATCCCTGAGAGAGGGTATCGAAAGCTTTATAGACATCCAGTTTTAGGAGGACTAATTTTTTTTGTTGACCATGTTGCAGTACGTTTATTATGTTCCTAATCGGATGAGCAATATCCCTCCCCTTAATAAACCCATATTGATCTTCTTTTATTATATTAGGTATGATGTTCTTTACTCTGTTTGCCAAGATTTTAGCAAAGATCTTATAATCTTGATTAAGGAGACTAATGGGACGGTATGAACCTACTTCTTCCAGGTCTTTACCTGGTTTCATGATTACTATTATTTCTGTTTGTCTCCATGAGTCTGGGGCTTTCTCCCCCCTCAGTAAGACTCGATTTAAATCATGGTTTTCTACAAAAAAGGTCATTCTTGCTGGTCTTAATATTTACAACCCAGATGAAAGTTTCCTTTTTCGCATAATAGCTTTTCAGGTTTAGTTTTACAGTTACTTCAGAAAATTAATAATTGTTTGGTTATTTATCATTTGAA